GTTTACTGAAGAAAAGGGATAGTCATCAGGAAGTCATATTGCAATCTTTAAGGCTGACAGTTGATTAATGAGGCCATCAGCAGGCCTGGTTATGAAAACACAATATAAAGTCTCTTTGTGTAACCTTAAGGTATTTGGAGTGCAATGACTTTGGTGGGGCTTGGGAGGGTAAACTCCTGGTAAATAATTGATTTTAGACAATGCCAGGATGAGAAAATTTTGCATAAGAGAAATTTGAAATGATAATTTTTAATTAATGATCATAAGTTAAGCCATGCCAAATGGTCTGGAGCTAGATTGGTTGAAGGGTAGGCAAGGTCGCAGATGCAGGTGAAATACTAAAGGAGGTGGAGGAATTGTCTATGCCCATTCATAAGTATTGGTGTGAGATACCAATAAGAGGAAGTCATTGGGGCAGATCAATATCTATGTTTTGGAGATATGATTAATTTTCCAGAGCCAGACAGGGCTTTTGTTGGAAAATAGGGGAATCGCCAAATCCCTTAACCATGTCATGCCTCCACACCGGTTTTGGGCAAATATCAATAAATGCAAGAAATCAAAGTGGCTGATTCAATTGTTCAGATGCCAAGACAAGAGACAACTGCCTATATTACGTGACTGCCTTGTCCAGACTTAGCCAAAACAACCAACGTGTCGCATTTAACTTATGAAGCAGGTTGGGTTGATAATTTTCTGCATGAAGAATTGATAAATTCTAATGTCAAGACTAACCAAGCACTATACAAGCAGAACATATATAAAAGCATTTATTTTTATTCAAGTTACTTTTCTTTCTCACTGTGACTTCACTTTGCCTGGACCAACCTAATATGACAATTCTTGTCAATAATTTAATCTTTGCCAGTCTTATGATAAAAAGTTGACCACTTTGACCCAAGCCTTGCCTTTGTGGGATAAGGCAAGGCTTGGGTCAAAGTGGTCAACTCATCAATCAGCCATGGGATTCGACATTGATGGACTGGCTGAGAAGATATATATATATATATATATATATATATATATATATATATATATATATATATATATTTATTATATAACACCTTTTTGATAAGTAGGGAGAGTGATACCATCCTGAGCATTATTAAATTTGGGGCTCTTAACTGCTGTTGTTCCTAGGTCTGTCCTGATCTGGGGTGGTAGCACCTGTTAGTCCCAGATATGGGAAAAGAGTGACCCCCCCCCAATAAAAACAAAACACTATGAATGTATAAAAATACATTTTTATAACAGAATGACCCGTAATACATTTCATAGCACAATGAGCAAAAATACATTTCATAGCACAATGAGCAAAAATACATTTCATAGCACAATGAGCAAAAATACATTTCATAGCACAATGAGCAAAAATACATTTCATAGCACAATGAGCAAAAATACATATTATCTGTAGCTGAAGGCGTAAAATTGTGTTAAAAATATTTAGGCATTGGCATTAAATAAAACATAAAGTTGATATGTCGTTAACAAAATCAACCAATCAAAGTCTGATTGCAGTAGTAATATTAAAAACAGGTAGAAATTATTTCTTTCTCAAAAATTCATAATTTTTTTTTTTTTTTTTTTTTTTTTTTTTTTTTTTTTTTTGAGAATGGCATATTTTTAAATTAGTAGTAAAGAAATGTTGTAAAGGTAATCTATTCTATTGTCCAACAACATCTAATTAAAAAAAAAAAAAAAAATGGTTACATAATTTCATATGAACTGATCAGAGTATAGGCAATCAGTATGCTCTTTTTTCCTCTTATTTCTTTATTTAATTAAAATCCTTGATGAAAACTATTGTATGTGTGTGTCTATGTATTTATTTATACACACACACATGCATGCACACACAGAGGGTGCGATGGATAAATTGTCGTCTAAATTATGCAAAAATGAAAATAACACTGACATCGCATTTTAACAGATATATTTACCAAAATTACACAAAAATATCTTGAAATACTAAAGAGTAAATTCATACAATAATATTGCTATTGACTACAACCAAAGACTCCAGATGACTTCGGAATCTCCTGCAACTCTTTTGGACAGTCTCCTTGTTTAAGTTGGTGAATGCTGCCATAATCCTTGCCTTCAGTTCATCTTTGGTATTACAAGGAGTTTTGTTCATCTCTCGCTTAACTGTGCCCCATACATAATAATCATGGGGGTTGCAGTCTAGGGAGTTAGATGGCCAGATGTAAGGGGTGATGCTGTTGCAGAGATTGTCTGACAACCATGACTAGGTTCTCCTGCTTGTGTAGCATGATGCAGAGTCCTGTTGCCAGTCATAGTCGTCCAGCAGCCACCCTCTTGGCCCATGACAGCACTACTTCTTCAAGGCACTTAATGTTGGCCTCTGTTGAGCCTGACACCCTGTAGAAAGATGGAGGGATAATGTTGCTGTCACTAGTGATCACTTCAAACACCTTAATCGCCATTAGATTCGTCAAACTCTTCCTGAATCCTATGCACTGTCCTCAGATTGGCACACAGACACTCTGTAATGTTTGTATTGGAGCTTCCAGTCTAAATGCCAAATTTCTGGCAGAGTAAACTGTGTCATGGTGCTGTTTTTTTTCACACAGTGCTCAACTGAACCTATTATACTGTGCAGTCAACAAAATCAAAAATAAACACACGAACAAAATTAAAAACTGTTGACAATTTACCAATTGAACCTTATCTATATATATATATATATATATATATATATATATATATATATAAAAACTATCTATCTCAACGGAAGATATTTTTATCACTTTAATCATTATTTTTAGAAGATACCCATATTTGAGTTGGTGCTCTGTTTATTATAAACAGTATTTTATTTCCTCTACCGGCCTGAACATTCAAGAAAGCTTATTAAAGTAAAATGTGCCTAGCTGGATTCAAATCTGTGTCCTACTTTGCAGGAGAACCCGTTGTTTGAGCTGGTGTTTTTTTTAACTACTCAGCTATGGAGAGCTTTATAATTAATAAGGTTCTATCTGACTTTAAAGAACACTTTATCATTTCACCCCAAGCAAGGCAATAAAACCACTAAGATGCAAATTTCTGTAAAATAGAAATATTTTGACAAATGATAGGATTTAATTGAACAATATTTCTTTTAAAATAGGTATAACTCAAATTAAATTGTGGTTTACTCTTGTGTTCACCTTTGCACTAATGCCCTTGGGAAAGGCATGGATCTGTTTCTTTCTACTCTCAACAGCTATAGGTTAAATAAGCAAGGTAGACTATTTTCTAGTGTTGGGTGGACTGAATTCCAAACTCTGGAAAAGCCAGTAGGACACCATTTGACTCTTTCCCCAAGAATGCATGGCAATTCATATAAGAAAAGGAGTCTTCAATTAGGCATGATCACCTACCTCCTGAAAGGACATGGATTTTTTTATCTTTATTATAACTTGAAAGGTAATTTATTTCCTGCATTTGGTCAATTGTTTCTGAAAATTATTGATTGTGAATTTTAATTAAAAATAGATCTTAATGCAATTTTTACTTTTTTTTTCATGAAACTATAATTTTCCATCATTTCCTTGCATAAATATGTAACCTTTAATTTGCATTTAAGAATTCTTAAGCAATGAAGATTCTTAATTTTCTCTGAATAAGCATCCAAAAACTGACTCCCCTGTTGTTGTTATAATTTTTGTTTATCACTGCATCATCTTATGTTTGTAATGCAAGAAATTTGATACCATGTCACTTAAGTAGAAATTCTGTATATATCTTAAATTACTTCATAGAAATTGGATAGTATATCTTTTATTTTCTGAAGGGAAATCTTGAATTTCTTTTTTGTAATTTTTATATATATAGTCAGTCACAGTTATGTCCCTTTTTCCAATGTAATGTTCTGTAAGTAAATCAATTACTGAAGTCAACCTGCATCTAGCTGTTAAAAGTTTCTCAATATTTATATATTGGAAATTGAATCTGTTCCAAAAGAATCCTTATTTTATTCAGTAATATATATTGGTTCATATTCATGAAATCATACAATCACCAATATATACTGGTGAAGGCTCTCATTGATAGGGAAAGGAAATGTAATGTATAGAAAACAATGAACTGTCTCCCTTTTTAGTCAACATCCAAATGAGATTTGTATTTTTTCTTTAAAAAGTGTTATTTTTAATTGGTTTACTGTTTATATTAAACTATTGTAATTTGTGAACAAGTCATATTATCAAATAAAAAAAAAAAAAATCAGTAATCCTTTTGATGTAATCAAATTGCAAAAGGAAAAATAACTAAGTTATTGCAAAAAATAAATAGACTGACACAGACCAATTTTCCTGTTAAGAGAAAATCAAGCTTAACATTTATCTTTTTGTATAATTTATAATGCTTCTCTATAATTTTCCTGCTTGCTGTTTTGGGCTGCCATAAAGCTTGAGCTTTCATAATGTTTTGCCAAAAGAATCTTTGAATTTTATTTTCTCTTTCAGGTTAATTTTAAATTAGTTACCATTCTACCATACTCCGAGTAAAAAAACAAAAACAAAAAAACACATACACTGAGATTGTCCATAACAACATTGGATGTTAAAGAGTTAAATTATTTGATTCAGTAAGAGTATCAATATGGAAAATATATCAATTTTTAAAGTTTGTGGAAAATCAAAGCATTTTTTCTAATATTACACAAGTTTAACAAACCTGTAAAATTAGTTAAATATTCTTATTTTTTTAAAATGAGAAACTGATCAGTTTATGGAGAGGAAAATTTATATAAAATTATAATTTTCCTTTCCAAATAGGATTGCATTTCGATAATTGGTAGTGAATTCAATAAAGTTTTCAAAAATGGAGTTTTTATATATATTTATTTCTTTTTTTTCCTTAAGTCATTTCCAACTTAGAAAAAAAATGTTTTTTGCATTATAGACTTTTATGTGATATTTTTGTGTTTGTGAGCTTTAGCAATTTTACCCATTTCTAATCTTTTTTTTTTTTTTTTTTTTTTTTTTTTTTAGTCGGTGGAAGAAGTGTTTGCGCAGTTGATAAAAGCTATTCAACGGAGAGAAACAGTCAAAGACAAGAACTGCTTAGTATCGTAA